CGCCCCACTCTCAGCAGCGCCGGCACCCCCGCCCCACCCCACTCTCGGCAGCACCGGCACCCCTGTCCCGGCACCCCCGCTGCTCCCTCTTCCTGCTCACCAAAATCCAGCTCCTGCTCCTCCCTGGGTGACAGGCAGTTAGACCGCCACAGGGACTGGTGGAAGCCATTGCTGGGTACAGCCACCATGAACTGCCACGTGCTGGGATGGGGACAGGTGTGTCACTAAACCTGGGGACCAGAGCCAGACCACCAAGACCCTGGCCACCCCAAACTCCTCCAGGACCCTCCCCTCTGTAGGTCACTCTGTCCTTACCAGGCACCCCTCAGTCACCCCAAGCCACACCAAGGTCCCCTACCCAAAGTCACCCCAAAGTTTACCAGCTCCCTCCCCTCCTAGGTCACTCCATCCTTACCAGGCCCCTTCCCACCGTCAGTCCCCACAGCACGAGGGGTCTCTGTAGACCTAGGACTGGGGAAGAGGAAGCCGCTGACCTGAGGCTGGCCGCCGACCTCCACAGCTGTGCCCATCCCAAAGGCCCAGGGACCCTGGGCTTTTCCAGGCCCACGTGTCCACAGTGTACACGGCAGGGATGGTGCATGTCCACCAGATTCCTATCCTATGTGGCTCAGTATTCCCATGGACCTCTTGTCCCCAGGTGGAGACCAGTCCTGAGCAATGACTTGGGGGGCCTCTCTCCCTCTGTCCTTTCCCTCTGACATCCCCAGCGCTCAGCTTGGCACCCCTCCCTTGACCCTGCACCCCTCCCAAGACAGTCCATCCTATCCTCACTTAGACCAGGTCTGACATGTCAGGGAGTCCCCTGGGGACCTGTTAGCGTGTAGCTTCTGCTTCTGTAGGTCCGGGAAAGGGCCAGGTTTGCATTTCTAATAAGCCTGCAATGACCCTGTGGTGGCCAGTCAGCTCGGTGTCCTTCTGGAGGCCCACAGGTCTTGGAACGCCTGGACCCATGTGGCTGGCACATGCTGGTGCTGGACACCCCTTCCTCCGGTCCTAACACCTCTCCACTGGGTCAGCCTCTCCAGGGTCCCTGGACTAACCCAACCCCTCCCACTCTCTCCCCCCACCCAGCAGGTCAGCAGGCCTGACTAACTCATCCAGCCACTGCCTAGAGCTGTCCACCTGCCCAGACCCCCTCGCCCCCATCTTCAGACACAGGCCAGCATCTGCCTGCCCCCAGAGAGTGCCACTTCTGTTCCCCAAGCAGCACTGGCCATGCCACTACCCAGGGCCATACCCTGGAAGTCCCCTCATGGCCACACTCAGCTCCTTCCCGCTGGCCTCCCCGGACCCCCAGTGCACCTGGCAGCCCCTGCTGTCCTGACCGGCAGAACCGGCCCGTCCAGACCCCTGCCTCGGGCATAGATTGATTGGCTATGATGCCCACTTTCAGAAACATAATTTCTTTTTTTTTAATTTGCCATAGGGCACATGAATTCTCCAGAGAGACAGAGAAGGTGAAAAGGCGCTCTCTGGAGGGGTGGCCATGCCTCAATCCCTTCTCCATTCTTCTCTCGGGACTTTGAGCACACACAGACAAACACCAAGCATCATTTTCAAGCAGCCAGATCTGGGACTCAAACCGTGCAACTGGCCATGTGGGATCCAGCACCTTACCCTCCACACTACCTGCCGACTGGGCACTTAATGTAAGGGAAGTCGGGAATGCCTACAAATGCACGGCTCAGAGGCTCTCCACCAGGGCCGGTAGCCCTTCGTACTCCAACGGGAAGAGCTGCCACGGCCAGCACGTGTCTGTAGAGTGCCGACTGCCACGGGCAGGCGCAGCAGCCGCGACCGTGCTAGTCCAGCTAAAGTCAGGAGTCATCAGTGAGCATCGGAGTTCCGGGCCAATCCTCTTCCTCAACCCTTTCCTAATCTCCAGGACTACAAAGGGAAGGACTGCCTTTATCAGAATGAATGAATAAATAAATAAATACACACATAAATACATAAAGCTAATTTAAATTGCAAGTGAGGTTAGGTTTCTAAAAGGTTAAAGAAAAGATGAATCAGCAGACGCTACCTGGCCCTGGACAGAGTCAGCCGGACAGGGCTGCGAGTCAGAGCGAGAGCCTGGCAGCCGGAGAGCCTGCGGAAAAGACAGGGAAGGGCTGGGCCAGGCAGGTGGGGGGTGACCTCTGTCCTAGGAACCCCGGGCCTTGACCACCGGTGCCACTCTGGCTTGGCGCTGGCTCTTTGTGAGGGGGCTGCCAGAGGCCACAACAGTGCTGAGAACTGAGAATTTACGCAAATCTGGTCCCAGCTGGACAGAGGCCGCTCCCAGGACCTCTGCTGGCTGTCAGGGGAGGGAGGCACAGGAGGCTGCCTGGGGGTGACCACAGCCCTGCCCACAGTCACACGCAGGACCCTGCTCCCCACCCACCCTGGGAGTAATTCTGGGAAGGGACTGGCCAGCCCCAACCAGGAGGGCACCAGCGCCCTGACCAGCCCCACCGCCTCCCCTGCAGGGCAGTCGTGTGCTGGGGTTCTGAGTGTCACCCCAGTGTCAGGAGAGGCCCTGAGTGGGACTGGGAGGAGGTGAATGGAGCTTCCTTCTGCAGCCACAGAGGCTGCCATGTGGGGGCTCCTGCAGAGGACTCTGAGGGGTTCCTGAGTCCCTACTGTGAGCATGACTTTGAGGTGGTCAGGGGACTGACCCAGGCTGCCCAGACCCTATGCCACTCAGTGCCCATCTTGGCTCAGGTGGAGCGGGGACTGATACCTTCCCAGCAGTCACTGTTCCCAGGGGCCTGTGGGAGCCGAGTCCTGAGACAGCCTATCCACAGCCAGAGGACCTGAGGTTCAGGTTCCCAACAGCCACACTGGAGTCTGCAGTGCACCCTGAGAATTCCGCCCCAACTGACACCATGGGCAGTTGAAGGACGTCCAGTGCACTCAAGACCACACTGCAAAGGACCCACTCTGGACACAGAGGAGCCTCCCTGGCCAGCAGGAGGCAGCGGCATGAGTCCTGAGAGGGGCTCTTGGTCCATCCCATGTGCTGCGATGATTCGGGGACATTTCCTCACCGTGACTCTGTTGCCATATCTCTGTCCCCATGGCTCTGTCCCCCTGCTCCTGAGACCATGTGCCAGGGTCTCCAGGGCCCTGAGACAGCCTGAAGATCGTAAGCATCCAGAGCCAGGGGAACTGAGCACACCAGGCCAGCTGTGGACCCCCAGACACTTTGAGGGGCTCCCCTCAATTTACAAAGCCTGTCGGGACCACTGGGGATATGGCCAAACCAACTGCCACCTGATGCCTGAGAACCACAGAACCCTCTCCCAACCCTTCCCTGAAGGCACCGCTTCGGAGACAGATGGCGGCCACCACCTGGACAATCAGGACAGCAGGACAGCTGCTCCCACCAGGGACATGACCAGCTCCTGGCTGGGCGCGGCTCTGAGAGGGTCTTGAAAGGACTGGCTTCCTGCAGACACAGCCCCTTGGTGGGTTCTTATTGTCCCCGAGGGTTTTCCCCACAGAGAGATGCTGCACCTCCACCTGCCCGGGCACTGGGGTCCCTCAGAGATCACAGCCAGTCCCCTCTGGGATGCAGAGGACGTTTCTGGTGGACATTGGCAGCAGAGGAGAGGCAGGAACTGGGACCATAAATGCAGGAGACCCGACCCTGCCCCCACCCCCTCCTGTGCCTCGCGGGCAGTAGGGGCTGATGAAGCCTAGGAGAGGGGTCGAGGCCCGGACAGGACGAAGCCGAGAAGAGGGTGCAGTTGCCCTCGCGTGGTGTGTCCTACCGGAAGACATGCTGCAGGACCACTGGGGGCCCATGCAGTCACCTATGCCTGGGTAGACAGAACTGGGACTCTGAAGGAAACGGGGTGTTTGACCTGAGAGCTCTCCAAGAGCAGAGGGCAGGAAGGCGACAAGCCAGAGTTATAGAGGGGTACGCCGTGGGAGGTCTCAGTAAAGATATCACCACACCCCAGATCCCCATGGGGATGAGCATCAGATGTGGGCCCTGGTGATCCCAGGCTCTGAGGAGAAGGAGGAGGAGGAGGAGGAGGAGGAGGAGCAGGCAGCCCCTTTGGAGGGCTGAGCCTCGAGGCAGGTACTGGCAGCAGGATCTGGGGCCAGGCAAGCTGCTTTGTAGCTGAGTTGGGAGGAACTGCATCTGGGCGCAGCCTAAGTACTCCAGGGAGGGGGCATATAAGGGTCAAGTCCCCCACTCCAAAGTCCCTAACCCCAAGGACTCAACCCTGCTCTCAACCCACAGGAGCCCCTGACCTGCTCAGCCCAACTGGGCTGGAAGGGCCAAGGGCAAGGGATGAAGGGCCCGGGACATCCAGTCTGCTCATTTCACAGAGGGGTCTCTGAGCCCAGAGAGGGGACTTGCTCTGTCCCACTCTGCACTTGCCACACTTGACAGGCTACCCGGTGTGTTTGCCCAAAGATTTTACTTCCCGTGCACTGCCCGGTGCCTGCAGCAGTACCCAAGGGACAGAGCCCACCCGGTGGGAGACAGCTGCACCCCATCTGAGTCCTGTTGCAGCCAGTCTGTCCCAGCTGACGCGCTCACTTACTCACTGAGGACACAGTGTTCTGTACCCCACAGGGAGAGATAGTGCTCACCCCGGAGCCACCAACTTGCTTGTGAGGAATGGTGCATTCGAAAGGCAAGTACCCGGGAAGATCAGGGTGGGGCTCATGGAGTGGCACCCAAGCCGGGCTGGACATGGAGGGAACAGCAACAGAGGGGCAGGCTGGGAAGGGTCCCGCAGGCCGGGGTGCAGCTCATTCTTCTTCACTTCTGTCCCCCGCAAGCCAGGGAGCCAGGACATTGATCCCTCTGCACGTGCCAGCTGATCCGTAGGCTTGATCATCCTTGAGAAGTGGCCCTGAGGCAGGGACAGGCATGCCGGTCAGACAGCCATGAGGAGGAGCTGAGAGCATGAGGGGCTGCAGACGAGTGGGGCCAGGGCGAGCCACGGGACCTCCAGTCAGTTGACACCACCTGAACCCGAAGGCGGCTGCAGGTGAGTGGGTGCTTTTCTCACATACCCGGAAGTCTGCAGTACGCAGTCAGAGCTGACTGGATGCTCCATGCCCCCGCAAAGACCCTGCCTCCTCCTTTGTTTTTGTTTGTTTATTTTTTTAGTTTGTGTAAGGCACATGCACTCACTGGATAAAGACAGAAAAGGGAAAGTGAGAAATCCTCCCTCGCGGGCATATGTACCAGCGTGTTTTTCAAGCCACTGGGTCTAGGAATGCCCCCGCAAAGACCCTGCCTCCTCCTTTGTTTTTGTTTGTTTATTTTTTTAGTTTGTGTAAGGCACATGCACTCACTGGATAAAGACAGAAAAGGGAAAGTGAGAAATCCTCCCTCGCGGGCATATGTACCAGCGTGTTTTTCAAGCCACTGGGTCTAGGACTCAAAGCACACCGCTGGCCTGTGGAATGCAGCCACCCCAGTCCATACCATCTCCTAGCCCTCCTCCTGCCTTGGTAATATGGCGATTTCCTGCCTTCCTCAGGTATTTCAGCACCTGCCAAGATGCTCTTTCCCCCTTGGCCTGGTCGCACGGTGGGCTGCACTGCCCAGTTTGCAAAGACCCAGCAGCCTGCGTGGCTATGCCCACCTGGGATTCGGTTCGGGGCTGCCCTATATTCAGGAGGCTCTTGTCTGAAGGCTCCCACCCCGCTGGCCTCCAACCCCTGCCCTTCCCTCCGCACTGTCTTGTCTGCTCAGCTGCTGGGGCGGTAGCAGTAGCTCTGAGATGGGATGTGTCCCTTCCTCTTCCGTCTCCTGAACAGCTTGTGGAGAAACGGCACCAGCTCCGCTCTAAACATGTGGGAGAGTGCTCCAGCGGAAACATGTGGGCTGCAGAGTTCTCGGTGAGCTTTTTAACCACAAGCTGGTTTTAACCTCCTGCTGGCTACCTCATATTAATGGGTTAAATGAACCCTTGACATATGTCGACTTCATATTTTAACAAATAATTTCACTTAAAATATTTTTTTTCTTCTAATATCTCTGGCCCAGCTGATAGGGCAGGAGGCAGGCAGTTTCTCAGGTCCTGGAGGTGGTCAGTCGGTCAGTTGTTCTGCAAGGGTGGGATGCTGTGCCCTGGCTGGGGGTGGGGGCTGAGATGCCCACCAGATACCTGGCTGGTGGTGGGCTCCACCACGGCCAGCCCTTGGTTCCTGAAGCTCCTGCCCCTACCCCCATCGGGGGCTCCTGAGCCCAAACTGGCCCTGGTCCTTTGCACCTGCTCACGCCCCGCAGGCCCGCAGCCTGCACCCACCCCATCACACCACATCTCCGCAGCAGGAAGTAGATGCCCAGCATAGTTGGGTCATCTGCCCAAGGTCGTCCAGGAGAGTAGAGGACACAGGTGGAAATGGGACTATTCCCCAGAAGGCCCCTGGACCTGGGGCTTTGCAGGTGTGCATGGCGGGAACTGCAGCTCTGGGATCTGCCACCACCTGGGAGGCCATCCACGATGGGAGCAAGCCTGGTGATAGTGACACACATGCAGGCTTCCTCCTCACGGGTGCCTGGCTGGCTGGGGAGGGGTGCTGGAGCCATGCATCTGACAATAGGGGGCCAGAGTGGGCAAGGAGTAGAGCCATCTCCACTTACCCAGACCCTCACCTGCCTGAGGAGCCTCGATCTCAGGGCCGAACCCCAGAGCTTTGCAGCAAGTGGGGAGGAGCTGCGGGAGGGTCCAATGGAGGCCAGGAGGCCAGAGCCCAACCTTGGAAGCAGCAGGGGGGCTGGGGGCAGACAGGCTGCAGGATCATGGAGAAGTCCCTGGCAGGAGGGAGCACCCAAGGAAGCAAAGCCCCACAGGGAGCCTCGACAGGATGACTGGGCAGAGCTGATGGCCAGTGCCCACTCACCCAGCGGGCCCGTGAGGGCATGGCTCCTCCTCTCCCTGCAGCCGGCCACGGCTGTCATGCTGTTTGGAGGGACATTTCTTGGGGCATAAATGTGGAGTGGCCTCGGACTCTGGAAGCCCCACTGCCCCAAGGGGTAACCTGTGCCACAGAGGCGCCTGCAGAGCCCTGGGTCTTCGCTCTGGCCGTGCTGTGAGGGCACGGGGCAGACCTCCCGCCTTCCCTTGGCACTGCGCAGCAGATGTGCCATGAGCTGCGACGTGGTGTTCGGTTCTCTTGTCACGGCAAGAAGAAAAGGTGACAGTCATTTATTCATATATTTTACTTAGCCCAATGTGTCCAGAGTACCTCCCCGTGCAGGGAGTGCTCCAGCCTGGGCCGACCAGGATGGCCTCCGTCTGTGTGCAGAGCTGGCTGTCTGAGGACAGCCCGGAGTCCGGCTAGAAAGCCTCTGCACAGACACCTTCTTCTTGGGGAGGAAGCACGGAGGTTTGGGGGAGCAGGCAGCAGGGGAGGGGGAAGGAGGACACAGGGGTAGAGGAGCAGACAGCAGGGAAGGCCCAGCTGCGCTCCTCCCTTCCCAGGCAGCTCATCGGGACTCCAGGCACGGAGCTCCCTCCTGGTGGGCGGAGGCTGGTGACAGGCGGGGGCTGCTGTCAGCAGAGGACCAGCTCCAGGCTGCGGCGATGGCTTGGAGCCAGCCAACTGCACACTCTGCAACTCCCTTACCTGCAGGGGTGTGACCTTGGAGGAAGAGTAGGGGTGTGTGCAGGGGGTGCCTTTGGTGTGTCTACCATGGCCAAGGGCTGCCACTGCCAAGCTAGGGAAACTGAGGCAGGAGGGGGCTGAGGGGACAGCAAGCACCTTCCCGGGCCATCTACAGGGTGCTGGGCCCTGGTGCCGCTGGCTGGCCAGTCCAAGCTGTGGCCTGCAACTCCGATCTCATTTCACTG